GTTGTGTTCTAGTGAAATTCTTTTATGCTTTTGCGTGTATCGTGAATGATTGAGAACATTCTTATTAGTTCATTCACTGTTTAGTTTGCTTGTACGAGGTATTGTATTGTAGGTGTCCAGACGTAATTCCTGATCACATCAAGTATCAGCCTTTTTATTATCGTGAATCGATTCTCATGCATTGTCACTGGCCAAGCTAAAATTACATAACATCAAAACACAATACCTATAATGTAAATATATTTTCTGGCTAGTCATCTAAGTATTCTTCAATTGGCCTGGTTAGTGTGTTAATTTAATAGACTCAGACAATTGTATTGCCAAAATTTGCGTCAGATGATTTTTCTTCAAAACTGTGAAGGACCTGAATCACAAACATATATTATCATATAAATTTGTGAGTCGTTATTTTGCTTATCAGTGTGTTTACATAGAGGCATCAGTGGCTATAGGAGTCCGTTAATTAAGCGAAGCCCTTTTCTATACAATATACATTGACGTTTGAACTTATAGAATTTAACCTATAGTAAACCTCAGCGAGAACTTAACTGAATACGCTGGTTGATGTAAATGAAAATTATGCCGAGCAAATGATAAGAACTAGTGACAATCATCATGTAATGAAAATTTCTGCTTCAGAATTCTTTTTGATTATTTCTTAAGAAGTGGCGTCCACACACACTCATTAAGTATTCTTCTGTGCTTGGTGGTAATGACGTAGAGGACTCACGACTCGAGCATAGGGAGTGTATTTTTTCACGATTTTTTAGAGAAGCATACATCCAATTTTTTATGTTCTGTGGATATGGTTTTCTCCCGTCGCCACTTTTATGTTTGTACTTGAAGTAACGCCAAACCACTGTACTAATGACATCCGAACGTTAGACTCCCACCGTTCAAAAATAAGAAGACGGAAGACGTTGGAGAACACTTATTATCAGAAACAAAAATGTACAATCAAACATGCGTATTTATACAATTATATAAATGTCGTTAAATATTTTGAACATGAATCAAATAGTTCATCATGAACACTAATCATATAGTTCATCATTAATCGAATAGTTTATTATGAACATTAATCATATAGTTCATCATTAATGAAATAGTTTATCATGAACATTAATCAGATAGTTCATCAATCCACAATGTGCGTGGCTTTCTTCTCGACAGGCTATCCCAACACAATTCCAATCGGTATGTTTCAATCTATGAAATACCTTAATGTAAGCATTTCTTACGTCACCTTTCCACTAGCTGCAGCTTCTTGTTTCTGACACATACATAGAAGTTGATTCTTCGTTTTTCCTTTAACTATCGCTAGTTGAAATTGTTTACTTGTACTCTTCTGAAGTTCATCAGTTTACCAGCTATTCATTATTTACTATTCATTGGATAATGATGTTTTTCACTGTACGAAAAACTATAAATGTACGTTTTGTCTGTACCTTTTTACACTTTACTGGAATAAAGATTTCCTATGTTTTCCTTCCAGACATTGAATTTTGACTTGAGAGTCGGTCCTGCTAGTCCTTTTATATCAAACTTTCCAGTAACAAACTCAACAGTTTCTTGAAATTTCTATTGTACTATTCTCCCTATGATATAGAGAAAATGCTCGTATTAATTTATTAATATAGACTTCCATTATGTCTCTAGCGCCTTTTCTAAACCGTCTCTCCAACTGTTAGCTAACTCATTCTCTACCATAAATGGCTGCTGTTTAGAATTTTTGGTTGAAGTATCTTGTGCATAACCATCCCTATAAATCTTTACAATTTTTTCTAGACTACCATACGAACTATTAAGTTAGTTGTGGACTAGGAGGAGATTTCATCACTATATGGTCTTTCTGTCTATAAAATTACGTCAGTGAACGTACTTAAATCGTGCAACATAATGGTAGTTCATTTAAATATGATTCTGCTACCTTTCCTGATTATCATTCATTGATTCGCAGATAGAACTGATGGTCTCTGTGGATTGGATGCTAGTGAAATCCATTCGAAGGAAAATTTTGTCACTTACATTGAATTCTTCTTAATAACTTCATTCAGTTACTGTATAATCATTTTGATCGTTTACTCGCATTAATTTGCCTGAAGAATTGAACGTAACCTGATTACAAGTTTTCCATTCTTTCAAGATGGTTCTAATGGTCAACCAGTACCACGCCTGCATCTTTGTCGGAACGAGTTAATAACAGGTAATCGTTTTGTTAAGTAATTTTGTGTTCATTTACTGTTTGCAGTTAGGGAGAAACGTAAATTTAAGAAATTCGGATTCCCGGTTAGAACCTGGCTTATACCTCTGTTTACTTGGCCTCACTAATGTCAAGTTTAACAAAAGTTTTACTGTCATTATCAGTATAGCGGTGAATATGTGAGAAAGTACAACTCTAAAAGTGGTATTAAGAATTACATCATTTTATATACTATAACAACCAGGAAAACCTGTAGAGGGATGAATTGCGGGCATAGCAGTGAGTCAAAAATCCCAGTATTGAGCGACAGAGTTGTGAAAAAGCTCGAAACGTCACTGGATAACGTACCTCGAAGCAATGCTCACAATTCGGATCACTCGACCAAAACACACCTACACTACGTCTCAAACATGAAAACCAAGAAAATAATTTTCAGATTCTTACTCCTAGAAAGACCTGCAGACAAAATGGGAGAATGGGGGAAAAAGAATCAGAGAAAAAGGCGTCTGAATTCTCACTCGACTCAGCCTATCGTTCAGAAATCGAAGAAGGATAGCTGTGTTGCCTGCTCGATGCATAGACAAAACCAGTAACTCTGCTTTTGAATGTAACTTCTGTAGTGCATGAGTTCATTGACACAGCGGTACTGTAGTACCTGGAGTGTACACTATGCGTATTTGCTGAGTCAATTTTGTCCATCATTCTGGAATATCTTCTGTCGACGGTGCAGAATAAGTGAGGCAGCGAAAAAATTAGCATTAGCAAAGCCTTAGGCCCATATCAAAAATCAACCTACAAATCCCAACAGGTAAACAAACCTAAATCGCTCTGCACTATACCAATGAAAACGGTGACAAAATTGCCATAACTCAAACCAACACACCAGCAAAACTGCGAGTTTTTGCAAACCCCCTTCCCCACAGTATCCGTCAACAATCCGGAACAGTGGGAGAGTGTAAAACAGGGAAACGCAAACACTACGATTCACGAAACGTTACCTATCAGTGACAGGGTTCTGTAGACAGAAATCACAAATTGTATTCAATGTTTCAGCTAGCTTACTAGAAGTTAGGTCTGCCTTTGATAAAGAACAGGGGTAAAAGTACTGCGTAATTCTCGGAATGTACAACACCCCAGCAAAAGTATGCCCTCTTTTCCAAAGGCAATAACGCCGCGAAAGGGAAACCCTACCTGATGAAGTTAACACAAGACTCAGCGCAACTTGCCGAAGACATCCTCTTCACATATCAGAGTTCTGGATTGAATTGTTCTCCCGGTCGGGATCATGCACGGCAAACCGTGGTCAGTACAAACGGCAGCTAGTATATCACAAGACACTCAAGAGCAGACCAGTATGCCCGCATTGGATGGTGTTAGCCTGAATGAAGCTCACGCGCATGGCGTGCAACAGTAGCGATGGCTATCACGAAGTCTGGGCCTTCACTCCACGATGGCAATTAGCATTTCCAGGTTGCCTCGCCTGTCACCCCTCACACCCACTAAGTCACCACATCTGATAGCTGTGGAATTCAGAGATCGGGAAGACTTAATTGAGGCCCTTTTGGCCTGATACAGCTAAAAGAACAACGTCTCCAGCCACATTAGGTATTGCGAAAGTCGACCTAGATCTGACCTTGAGAAATTCAAATGCTTCACTTCTATCTGAAGTTTTTCGCTGACGATGTTGTTCAGAAGAACAATGAAAGCTCCACAACCAAAACATCCAGCGTAGAGAACCAAACACCACCACAATCGTCCACCGGAGCTACAAATCTTCTCCACCATCTCAAAGGTTCATGACTAAAGGAAAACCTACCAATCAGGGTTTATGTTCTCTTAAAGGTCCGAATAGAGAAGACCTCATCAATCTAGAGACGGCTGAGATCTTGAACACAAACTTCATCGAACAGTTTAACCAGTCATCCACATGTTCAGAGTACTAAGCAAACCCAGTGCTAGCTGACGTCTTAGGGAATATTCGTATTACTCCTGACTTAGTACTAAGGAAACTAAAATCCGTACGCCCAGGAAAATCACCAAGTCTGTTGGGGATGTTAGATCCCCAAAATTCGCTTGATAATGCCGTATTTTGGTTTTCA